CTTATTTCTATGAAAACATGTATGGGATTCACACTGCAGATAATGTGACACAGGCTAATTTTTAATCAATACACTATTTGTTTCAAAGATATCCTAGTTGCAATGTTGTATATTCCTTGTTAGGAATTAAATCTTGTTGCAAGGCCGAATTTTCTAAGCAAATCTCTGACTAGCAACAATCGACAGATGAAGTACGGAAGTCGTAACCTATTGCAGCAAAATTTTCCCCAGAGCTTACTGAACAGACAAAACAAGGGACTAGTACTCCCACACTCCATTTTAATATGGTGCAGGCATAATATAAATAATGCTCATATTCTTACCAGATGAAGTTTCTGGGAAATCAAATATGAACACTATTTTTAAAATATTTTCAACAAGCTTAATCAACTACTTGCTTTTGAAAAGTATGGCTTTTGGTGCATGATCAACTCAGAAACTTTTCTGTTTGCATTCAGAAAAAATATTTTGTTTTTGGCAAAACCACCAGTTGATCTTTTTGTACTTCCCAGAATACTTGTGTAGTTAACATAGGTTAATATGTGGTAATATGAATCTTTTAAGAAAAAAAAACATTGCAAGACTACAATATTTGTTGTTGCATTTCAGTACACTAATAAACACCAGTGCCTCTTTACTTCCATCAACATGGATGTTTTTTAGATTTAACATTTGCTTTGCCAATTGTTAAAATATTAGGTAACAGATAGATCTATACCAGTGGTTCTCAACCTGTAGGTCGGGACCCCATTTGGGGTCGAACGACCATTTCACGGGGGTCGCCAAACAAGGCTGTCCACCATTTTTTCCCCCTTTTCTTTGGCCACGCCCCTGGCACCTGGTGATGTATAAGTGGTTGGGGGTCACCACAACATGGGGAACTGTATTATGGGGTCGCGGCATTAGAAAGGTTGAGAACCACTGATCTAGACATTTCAGACCTAATCCTGTAAGTCATTCTTGGATGAGATTCACAAACATTCATCAATAAATTTGATTTCTCCAATAACGTAAAGGTAAAGATTTTGATAATTAATGGTTTGTATTTGCAAAAAAGCTCTATTGAATACACTGAGAGATAACTGTACAGCAACAAGTTCTAAGGCTGCCGTAAACAACCTACTGTAAATACTAAAGACTGCACAATCATATGTTATGTTTGGCTTACAGTGAAGGGAAAGGGAGGGGGGTTAACAAGGATATGAATAAGGGAGAGCCAAGCATGATAGCATATGTTTATTTCTGAAAAAGTGTATTCAAAAGTAATTGGGAATCTGGCAGTTTCTTATGTTTGTGAGAACAGAAAGACGCAGGAAGGGGGGGGGAAATGTAAGATCACCTTCAGTGTGTATTTTCTGACTTATTTGGAGTTTCTAATTTATATCTACATTACTCTTCATTTTAACACACAATTGTATAATTAGATAATCAATTTCATAATTTATACTACTGATAATAAATGATCTGCATTTGCCTTGAAGCCGTTTGGTGTTATATTACAGGGTTTTTTAAACTATGCTCCATGGAGTTCATAAGAGACTAAAGACAAAAGATAAATAGAAGAAGAGAGTTCACTCAAGTACAACCAATTTCCCAGTTTATTAATTTTGCTCCTTCTCTAGCAGTTCCAGAATTCCTTTAATATAATTTTTTAATTAAAAAAAATAATCCAATCAAACCCGTCAAGCGAACAATTGGCTATTTAGTGCAATCATTGTGGCTTTTGTTGTGTACATTAGAGGAATTTCTACCAGACAGAATTAGAACTTTCAATCATTGTTTAAAAATATCATGATAGATGTTTTCTGAATTGGAACAGAGATGGAGAGAGGCAATTGTGTTTCAATTCACCCCACTGGGTAGAGTCCTTAGTGCTCTCTGAGTTTGGTTGTTCGTTGTCTCTACCTTTTAATCAGGATCCATGCATCATTCAAACAAATCTTACCACAGATTTGTACATAAGCAATGTCATATTAACAGTTTTATACTTAATTTTTTTCCAATGATATCTGACATGGAATATTGTTTTTCACAGGGATATTATTTTCACTGAGCTATTTATTACTACCGTATATGCCGGCGTACAAGGCGACCCGGCGTATAAGACGACCCCCATCTTTGTCGCCGAGCCGCATTCCTAGAATGTCGTCTTATACGCCGGAAACTACCAGTATTTCCGGCGTATAAGACTCGGCGTATAAGACGACCCCCGTCTTTGGCGCCGATTTTAGTGCTTCCGGAAGTCGCCTTATACACTGGCATATACGGTACCTCATCAAACACTTGGAGTCATACATAATCATATTTTTTGCATTTGTATGTATTACTTCTATTAAACAGTTTTTATAACATTGGCATTCAATTACATCTTCTAATTATATCTTCTATTTTCATAGTTTGGAAAGATCATGGAACAGAACAAGCAATCTTTTTATGAAAAAGGCTACACTTAAAAAAGGGCAACTAAGTATATGATTTATAATCTAATTAAAATGGACATACTTACCGATGCCTTCCATTCATTTCCAATCCAACTACAGGGCAAATAAAACGTGCACTTTGGATGTCAGCATATTTATCCCCTTTTGTATTACCCTTATCACCAGTCCAAGCTGGATTGTCTGAGAGATTCAATTCTATGACATTCTGCAAGAAATGAACAATACTTTATATAACTTGATTTGACACTATGATAAAGGAAGTATCATCTAAATTGGAAGACAACAGTAGAGTATGAAAAATACAAATATTCTAGAACAAAATATATAGGATATATATGCAAGCAGGCAGTTTCTGGAAAGTGAGTGACATCACACTTAATAGAAAGCATTCTGTGTTCCTGATGATGTGCTATGGCTTCAGCATTGCTAGGAGTGATTCTAATATATAGTACAGTTTTAGGATCACCTCCCTTTTCTTTCAGCAAGTTAAGAAAGGGGTAATAGAACTGTTTCTAACTTCAGGCCAAGTCTGAAGCATAAGACAATGTCTGTGGGAAACAGGCAGTTTCTGGTGATAAAAGCATTTTTCTTGAATTAGGTTAAACAACATCAATGGACCTTTATAAGTTTAAAATGGTCTGATTCTGGAAAAAAGTATGAGGGGAAGGAGAAAAAGCAGTCTTTACAGGAAGAATTATGATTGTGTTTAGGCATAAGAAGCAAAAAGAAGGCAGTATAGGTAAAAAGCAGCAGCCTGACAGTATATATTTATGTCACAGAAGCAAAAAAGAAACATGTTGGTGTTTGTTTTTGGAAGAAAATGCATCTCACATATCCCCGTTTTTTTAATAAAAAACATACTGCATAAATAAGATGCTTCAGAGTTTCATTAATATCAAGGAAGTTTATGTCAAAAAAATAAAGAGAAATTTTGTGGCTGTCTGCTTAACTTGTATATTATAATCATTAACATGTATTTTAAACATGTTAACATACCTTAATACTCTTGATATGGGATGCAGCTTCCACAAGGACTTTATCGGAAGATTTATCCAGCAAAAATTCAATGACTCCATCTTTGTTGTAAAGTCTATAGCAAAAAATATATTATGAAAAATAGGTTAACTTTCTAATTCAAACTTATTCAAAACATGTGACTTTGTCTGAAAAAGAATTTAAAGTGTAATCTTACCTGCCAAGTTCACAAGCTACTATAGGTCGGTTTAATTTTTCTTGACTTAGAGTGCAATAATACCACTGGGCTACTAATTCTGCATTTTTGTCAACCTGAGGAATATAACAAATTATATACAGTTTTAGACAAAGAAGTATTGTTAAATTCAAAATCTTTCTACTTACATGTAATTTTTTTGCCCCATTTGGATTTGCAAAGGTGTTCTATACACGGAAAAATTAGAGTTTGGTCAACTAAACTACATATATACTCCTTTATTGGAAGTCTAAGTAACACAGAATAGATATTACTGGGTGCTATGATCTATGTAGATTTTCTTTCTCCAAGACTATACTGGCTTTTTTAGTTGCTGCTTCACATCATAGCAGTTACTTTCAGAATGCTACATTTCTACTTTATAAGCATAAAATGATTTTTTATTTTATTATGAAATATTTATATCTCCCTACTCTTCGTGACCCTGACAGCACCCAGATAAAAACATAGAGAGTATTAATACTGTAGTAAGAAACAAAACAAAAAAAGTGGCACAAACCAAGCAACAAGCAGCAAACCCATTATACCCAGAAAGGGGCTTCAATCACCCTCACAAAAATGAAATAACCACAGAAAAAAATAAAAGCCCACAACATAATGTATTTCTGTGCTTATTTCATCATGCTTATTCGAGTCAAAACTGAGTCTGGCTGCCGACACAGCAACAAGTATATGCTCATCTGGATATTTGTAATATTGAAGAACAAGTTATAATCTCACATTTTGAGTTGGTGCTTACTCTGACATGGCCTTTTTCTATCTTGTGGCCAACCTCCTCGAATATTTGAAATTATGTGGATACATACATACATACATATTAATCACGTAAAAACAAACATAGTATAATGATCTGATCATAATGGAATATGCTCCCCTGACAGCCTGGGTATAGCAAATCCCACCCACACGTCCTCATTAAAAAGAAAAGCTTGCCGTTTTAATCAAACCGACTCCTAGCTCCCTCTTTATTTCTGGAATTACTTTTCCCATAAGCAAGTTAACGTTATGAAACTCGACGAAACTCCTGTCTGCTATCTAGGCCACCATTTCTCTATTCCAGGATGAAACACACCACCAGCCGGAGCTCTCCTTTCTCACCCCGGCCTCACCTTCTCCACCTTACGAGGGCCCTTCACCAGCTCGTGCCGCTTCGGGATGGTTCCTCCATCGCAACCCATTTCGCCTTCAACTTGCTTTCTGTAAGTTCCGGGTTGCCAAGCAGAAAGAAACTTCCGGTCAGATGACCTGAGCTTTCCGGCGCAGAACGGCGACATAGCGGGCAAGGCGTGATGACGTTTGCAGTTATGTTACTCGGGTAACCTAATAACGAAGCGGCTTCCCAAGGCGGAAGTTTCTCCTTAGGCCTGTATTCGCATTATACACTGAGACACAAATTAGACAACCACATGTTACTCTAGGGCAGTGTTTCTCAATCTTGTCAACAGGAAGTTGTGTGGACTTCAGCTTCAAGCCTGGCTGAGGAATTCTGGGAGTCGAAATCCAAACATCTTCCAGTTGCGAAGATTGAGAAACGCTGCCCTATTGCCCTGTGCTCGTTCAAGCCGGTAGGTTGAGTTCAGGAATCAGAATTTCGTGCGAATTCACTAAGCTGGGTTTTGTGGTTGAGTCAGTATGGGGATGATGATGTAAAACTAAGATTCTGATCCCAGCCACAGTTAACTGGGCAGATTTAACAGAATAACAGAGCTGGAAGGGACCTTGAAGGTCTTCTAGTCCAACTTGCTCAAGCAGGAGACCCTATACTATTCTGGACTAATGAATGTCCAATTTCTTATTAAAAATCTCTAGTGTTGAAGCACCCATAACCAGAAGCTGTCCCACTGATTAATTGTTCTAACTGTCATGAAATTTCTCCTTATTTCTAGGTTAGTTTTCTCTTGATTAACTTCCATCCATTGCTTCTAGTTCTGTCTTCAGGTGAGCACCGTGGGACTTGGAGTGGAGGAATAATAGGAAGGATCTGGTGGTAAGATGTGATTGTACATACTTTTGATTGGTGGTGAATTTAAACTTTGTGTACATTTCTATGATATGTAAAGTTGAACTTCACAAATAACAAAATATTTGATTTCTGGAGCTCAGCATTTGGAGTTCTTGGTGCTGATTGTTTCCTTGAAGATGTTTTATTCCCCAACTAAGTTACATCATCAGTGCCAATGAATGTGGGGTTTGTCCCTGTTTATATACATACTTTGCCCTGCCAATATTGGTGAGAGTGTAGTTTTCTTCTTGGTAGTTCCTTGATTAGGATATTAGGTGTTTCTTTGGTTGTTCGTGTGGCGTTGATCCCTGCTTATTTGAATATAGGGATGTGTTCTATTCTTTCTGATTCCTTCCTAGTTTTTTTTATTTATTTACTCTTTTGAATGGTTTGTAAATGTGGCTTATCTCTATATGTCTATTGAGATTAATTTGTCTGCATGCCAAGCTTCCCCAAATTTCCTAGCATTTAGATTGGGTTTGATCTAAGATTAATAATAGTTTGATTGAAACTCTGGCTTGTTCTGTCCATTTATTGTGAGATGAAAGCGTTTTCACCATGAAAAGAAACAACCAAGCTCAGAGAGCCCCCAAAACTTCACAGTTCAACTATCAGATACGTATTTTTTTATTGGAACTCAATATTTGATTTCCAGTGTTAAATATCACTCAGTCTAATGAGCTTGAAAAGATTTGCATTCACTGTAATGAATAGATTCCTTTAACACCAGCATGTGATATTTTTTGACAAAACTTTAAAAAAGGTTGGGCTGTTTTAATTAATAGCAGAGAGAACTGAAAATCTTTAATAAGTTTTCTATTGAAGGTGGAAGGATCAGTGTCTCCAATACTCTGTGTCTATATTTACACAATGTGTTTAATCAGGGCAGGTAATGACTTAATGGACGCAGTCATATAACATAGTAAATTCAGTTAGTGTTAACCTTGGTAACATTTCTTGTGTGTTAGTGTATTCATCATAGGCCATTTTGTGTGTGGTTCTGAGTATTATGTAAAGCCAAAAAAATGAGTTAATTCAGTAAGCTGATAAAACAGTTCTGCTCTTCCTGAACATTTGGTAAAATTTTGTCTTTGGCACTAAAAAGAACAATATTGTTGGTGTATGAACATGCTGGGGGAGGACTGAACATCATTTTATGAACTTCTGCTTACTCCTCATCACCATAAGAGCACATTCAGCTTTTCTCAAGGACTAATTTATTGTTCATTCTCGCTGTTCATGGGACCTGAACTTGAATAATGGTCTTCAAATCCATAATTCAAAGATATCTACCTTCTCCTGCTGTCTTAAAAGCAAGAGACTAATGGTTATTTGTCAATCTCCCAGAGTCACTTAAATTGTGAGATAGGCAGTATATAAATTTGATAAATAAATAAACAGAAGTGGTTGCTGACACTTCAGTGCTCAATGTATTCACAGTACCGTGCACAACAAGACCTGATTTATTGGCAAGGTATTATCATTTTGGAAAAACCATGGCCATGGTTTTTCCAGTTGCAATGTGTGGATGTGAAAGTTGGACCATAAGAAAGGCTGAGCAACAAAGAATTGAGACCTTTGAACTATGGTGCTGGAGAAGACTCCTGTGAGTCCCTTGGACTGCAAAGTGTTCAAACTGGTCAGTCCTAGAAGAGATCAACCCAAACTGCTCTTTAGAAGGCCAGATCCTGAAGTTGAAACTCAAATTCTTTGGCCACCTAATGAGAAGGAAGGACTCATTGGAGAAGAGCCTAATGCTGGGAAAGATTGAGGGCAATAGAAGAAGGGGATGACAGAGAATGAGGTGGCTGGATGGAGTCACTGAAGCAGTAGGCGTGAGCTTAAATGGACTCCACAAGATGGTAGAGGACAGGAAGACCTGGAGGAACGTTGTCCATGGGGTCACGATGAGTCGGACACGACTTCGCAATTAACAACATTATCATTTTTGTAGAAGTTACAAGAATTGAAATAGTTAGCATCTGAAAGATATACTATGGACCCTGTTATGTGGGGTTGATTTTGTCTAGCTCACAGATTGCAATGTACCCCAAGACATACCCTTGCCCAAATAAAATAGATAGAAAATTTTGCACACATTTAGTGATTTTTACCTATTAAATAACAAGTAAATCATTCTGATCTTGAAATGCACCTTTCTAGTTGCCCCTGAAGAGATCTGGCATGAATGGAAAGTGGAATGCTTTGAAAACTACATAAATAACAGCTGGAACAGACATTTTATACTCAGAATATTTTGTGATGAAACATTTTGCACAATTCTGTGGTTACTTAACATTTCCAAGCATTTTTTTTCCCTGTTTTTAGGACTGAGATTGGGTAATAGAATGTATATTTGTCCTCTGTCTACTTCACCTGTAAATTTCCACTGTTTTTTTTAAAAGGTATATTTGACCACCCACAAATCTGAGAATATACTATCTCATTACTGAAATGCAGGATGCCATTTACATACAGTATATAATGAGAAAGAGCATAAATACATGATTCTGTTTCTTGGCTAAGCAATCCTACAGGCACAAGGAAGGATTAATTGTACCTAGTACCTTTTTAATATATAATTAGGCAGATTGTAAGGTTCTGGAAGATTCCCTTTTGTTTGTTGTCTTTGTTTTCCTTTGATCTCTCATTGTATGACCACACAGAATAATGTCTTTTCTCCTATTTGTGAACACTGCTCACAAACAAATACATGTTTGTTGATATGAAGATGATGTAATTCTTTAAAAGGGGCAATTGGTTCAAGGAAATGAGAAAGAAGAGAAATTAAGATAAATAACAGAGCTGAGACTAATTAGTAATCACAAGACTGTTGAATACTTTCTATTCTTTACCATGTTTTTTGCTGCATAAATAATTCATACTATACTGTTACACCTGAAACCATGGTTAATAACAGTAGCATTTGCACCATCTTAAGGAGTTTGTCCCACCAAGTGGATGGTTTCAAGAATGGCTAATAGCTTGACCACCATTGCAACAATTCATAACAAGTCCTCTGAACAGCCCTAATCTTGTCATAGCAATTGACTGTCAGGTTTTTATTAAATGTATATATTCACACCACATCTCTATGGGGTAGAATGCTACAGTACTGTTATCTTCAAGCAGACAAACACACATGCTTTGTAATAAAAGGCCTATCATATCTAAAAATTTGACACAGTTTTTGTGAACACGCTTAGAGTCTTAATGAAACATTTAGCCTCAACAGAATGTACAGTTTAAAGAGGAATAGAGTTGCATAAACTCAAGCTACCTATGTTCAAGTGATGTCTGTATGGATGTTGAGGATGAATGTCAAGCTGATACAAATAAAGGCTTCTGCTCAAAATATCTCTATATCAGGATTCTTGACAATGAGGAAGAATTTAATCATGTTTAACCATTGAGCGGAGACACTCTTGCAGGCCTCTCACCCAACATTGGCTGGAATTGTATTAAGAGACACAGAGAGCGAAGTTGGCATACATCTCCACCTCCACATGGATGTACTTTATCCTGTTCAAGCATTACATCTACATTTGTCTTTTGAACTGTTCCAGTAGTCCTTCATTCCATCGTATCTCGAAATTGCTGTGTGAATTGAGATAATTCATCAGCTTGATCCTGAAGTTCTTTAACTGCCTCAGGACTTGGATATTTCATTGCAGCATTTTTGGTTGCAATTGCCAGGCTTTTCAATAAGCCACAAAATGTGCTGCTACGACGCAAGACATCATTTCGGTTGGACTTTTCAAGGGCTTCCTGACACAAAGTATCCACCAACTTTTGGCCTACCATAATGATCAGCTTGCTCTTGGCTATGAAGATTTCTGGAGTCTGATTATCACTAAGAGTTTTGTGGAAAACACCAATGGCTTTCTGAACAGCTCCAAAATACAGTCTGGAGAGGTTGGAGAGTATCATTCTGTTATCTGGATCTTGTTTACTCAGAGTCCTTTCTTTCGTTGTAGGTGGAGAACTCTAGGGAGAGAATGAAAAGAAGAAAAACATTGAGAATTCCTACTATAAATGTTGTGTAGCTTGTCCTGGAAATCCTTTCAATAGTTGTGCTGGCTTCAGGAAGATGCTTTACTCCAGTATAAGTGCTTCAAGATGGGAAAGGCTGTTTAAAATGCTTATTCTCATCAGAATTATAAAGTATGAGGAAATACTGCAAATAATAAGATAGAAAGTTGCCTTAGCAATCAAGCTATTTGTCCAACTAGCTCAGTGTATTGGCAGCAGCTCTCCAAAATGTCAAAGAACTGTCCCTTGCTTGATAAGCTTTTATTAAATCTCTGTTGATAGCACATGGAAGCTTCTGTGTGCATAATGTATGGATTAACATTAAGATCATTTCTACAGTCTTTCCTAAACCATTTAAAGCAGACCTTTGATTTTCTGCAGACCTCAGAATGCTGAGATTAGATGAGATAAGAACACAAAGCACTGCAGATCTCACAGGAACACAAATTTCCCTCATCTCCTTGCCAACCCCCCCCCCCCAAATGACACAACCTGATAAAAACCCTTCAAAGATATATTTCTATCACTTGTAATGCATGCTGAGCTAATGTTTGCAAAAGTAAAAATAAAGCTCTATCTGTAATGGAAGGAGGCTCACTAGCTCCCCTGCTGTGCTTCCTGTAATTGCAAAATCCCATGGTGAGCTTAATAGCAGCCAGGCAGTTTTCCCACCATTTTTAAATATAATTCGGCTACATTTGTAGTGATCTGTTCCCAGCCTGATAAGGATTCAAGAGATGGCTGGGAAAGACACTTGTGTGTTCTTCAGTTGTCTGGGAAATGGGCCAACAGCCCACTGATATAGGGAGGGTGTGAATGAAAGAAACTGAAGAAGACTCTGCACTAGCAAGGTAAAAGAGAAATTTAAGTTCTAATATTAAAATAATCTAATTGTTGGAATTTCTGTAATGGTACCCCTTTTTCAATAAATGTCAGTAAAAAACTTGGTGGAAATCTTATTTTTAGCTACCAGAAGCCCCGGATGAAAGTGTGTGTGTGTGTGTGTGTGTGTGTGTGTGTGTGTGTGTCTGTGAGAGAGAGAGAGAGAGAGAGAGAGAGAGATAACATTGTATATAACATGGACTTTTGAATTGGAATTTATTGATTTATTATAAAGGTATTTCTTCACTGGCTCCAATTCAGCTCTGCTAAAGCAGTCTCCCATGCCACACAAAAAGAAAAGGGAAGAGCCGAGGTGGCGCAGCAGTTAGAGTGCAATACTGCAGGCCACTTTAGCTGACTGTGTTCAGCAGGTCAGCGGTTCAAATCTCACCGGCTCAAGGTTGACTCAGCCTTCCATCCTTCCGGGGTAGGTAAAATGAGGATCCAGATTGTTGGGGGCAATGTAAATATATATATATACATTGCTTACTGGTGTACACCGCTTAGAGAGTGCTTGCACTTAAAACAGTATATAAGTCTCATAAATAAATAAATAAATAAATAAGAACTAGAAAGTCTGATTGATCTTACAAACAGAAAAGGGGAAACAGACAAAACTCTGATAAATTTTGCTCTGTTATGCCAAAGTTTTTCCATTAAAAAGATGCAAAATCTACTGAAACTCAGGAATTCCAAGGAGGGATAGAGGTAAAAATGTCCTCACTATGGATCACGTACTACAAGGTTTGTAGAGCCTCACCTACAGGCCAGCAGTATTTTGCAATTTGGGTTACACCACAGCTGAGTGAAAATAAACAGGTTCAGTTGCTAAATTCAACTGGCATTATAGAATCAGAGATCCAGTGTTGCTTTGGGAGTGATACTACTCTCCTAAATATGACACTCCAGTATAGGTAGCTAAAATTCTGTTGCCCTTTTAACTCGGCTGTTACTGGCCGTTAACCAGTGAGAATGCTGGCTTGAGCATGCATGATATAGAATATATTACCAGAACACATGAATGTACAATATTCTCTACTATTCAAAAAACAGAAACAACAACATGACAAATGTTTGCTACATGAAGCAGCCTCTATGGGGTTGAATTCAGATAGTAACCACATTATAAATTGAATGTATAAATCAATCAGTCATTGTCCCAGATGGCTGTGGTGGATTTAAAAGGTTTTCAATGTTTTTATCTTTCTTTTCCCAAATCAATGAGGGCCAAATAAAAAACCATAATCCTGTACAGTTCCTATTCAGATGTAAGTTCTGTACCAGTGAGTTCAATGAAAAATTATGAATACAAATAAACTTGTCCACTGGCAGGCAGCTAATATGTTTTGGTTTTTTTGAAACAATCTAATTTCAAGGTTTTAGGTAATGATTAAATACTAATAATTTCAGTGTTACAATATATTTTACCTTTAATTTAAATTCTTCATTTTTCTTTGTCTTGCAAGTTGGCTGTGTGTGTTCCGTTTCTAATGGTTTCTGCAAAAGGGAAGACAGTTATAATTCTCAAAAAAAAAAAAAGCGGTCATCCATAAACAGATAAAGATTATGGGTTATATGATCCAACATTTTCCTTCCAAACATTGGAAATGTTGCCTACTTCCATTCCTAAGATTTGTCAGATAAATTCTTAATTACTATGGTTTGTTCTCAAGAATCTCAATAGTTTTTAGGAAAAAAACCCTAAAATTTTCTGAGCATTTAAGAGTGACAAAATTCTCTGTAAATGAAGAAATTACCCTAGGAAAATTTATGTTATTTCTTTGGTTGGGTTTCCCAACTACCCAGCTTCATCATCTCCACCACCCGCTCCAGATTGCCTTTTCGATTTCCAATGGGCCTTGGAACTCTGGAAAATGGTGGGATGGAAAAGAAAAGAAACTATCCATGCTACTCTGGGGCCCTCTGCAATTTCTTTTCAGGAAGCCTGAAATAACATAGGTAACATTCATTTCAGCCACTGATGCTATTGATTCTCTGAGATTATGTTCCCAGTGGGGTATTTGTGCTGCTATTGGTGGACTTGCGTGGTCTTAAGTCAAGAAATGCTTCAGAAGGGTCAAAATCATCATACTGAATTGAATCCATAAACATTTCACATACTATTGCAGCTGAGGAAGCACTGGGTAAAATTCAACTGTAAAGATCAGCTATACAGTAAATTTTCCTGAAAAATTTATTGGTCTTCCAGGCTATTGGTGTGGCCGTGTTTTAGCGGAGTACTTCCACAGTCTCAGAAGGGCTGCAGAGAGATAAGCCATCTGTAATTGTCCTAGGCCAGGGGTCTTCAAACTTGTCCTTTTATGACTTGTGGACTTCAAGTCATAAAAGGGCTAAGTTTGAAGACCCCTGGCCTAGGCACTCAACCAGTTTCCATTACTACCCATTGCGTTATTCCATCCCTAGCCATTGCGGGTGTGTGGATTTAACCACATATTTTTTGTGCCTTCAAGTTAATGCTGACTCTTGTCAAATGCTTGGACAAGTCCTTGCAGTTTTCTTGGCAAGGTTTTTCAGAGGTGGCCTACTATTACCTCCTTCCTGGGGCTCAGAGAAAGTGACTGGCCCAAGGTCACCCACTTAGCTTTGTGCCCAAGGCACAAACTAGAACTCATGGTCTCCCAGTTTCTAACCTAGTACCTTAACCACTACACCAGATTGGCTCTCAACCACATATTAATAACTTTAAAATATTGCCATTTGTACAGTAATTCCAACCACACCAACCTGTGGATGAGTAGAGCAGTCTTCAGGGACAGAAAGACTTGTCTCTGTTGAAGACAGATTATTTTCTTTTGCTTTGTCCAAACTACTTATTAGAACAGAATTATTTTCTCCTTGTTTTTCATGACTGAAGTTCTTCATTTTAAGCTCTACACCAGCTTTATAATCTTTGCTGTTTTTATCTTTGCAGCTCTTTTTGAAAAGTAGCTTCCCATTAGCTATAATAATAGATGAGAATCTCTTAATGTCTTCAGGAAGGGTACGAGCCACCATAACAAACTGATCCAGATTATCTGGGTTACTCTGAGGTTTCTTAATAGCTAGAATCTCAAGTGACCACTTGCTTTTGTTTAAAGCATCTCTGGTTTGTACCAGAATCTGAAAGGAATCTGAGAGAATATTCAGCTGTTTTTTAATTCTTGCTTGAAGCTTAGTATCTGATCCCAAAGCTGCAATTCTTTCAATAGTTTGAGCAAATTTCAAAAACTCTCCCAAAGAGACTTTTATGTGATCAATTGCTCGGTGGATTTCCTCAATGTTTCCTTCTAAATATTCTTGGTATCGCCACTTACTGCTCACAAAGATCATTAGACTTGCAACTGAACTGGATACGCTATGCTGCAGTTTAGTCAGGGTGTCTATAGCCAACTCAAGCTCCATAGTTGTGTCTTTGACAATTTCTTCCGAAAACGTTGATGAAAAGGACTCAGTAGAAGAACTTGACAATGTGGATAGGGTGCTGGCCCTACTATTTTCACTGGAAACAGACAATCTATCTTGGTTCACATTGCATTCTGTGGATGATGGCAAAGGAATAATGTATGGGTTATCTCCTGAATTGTAATTATTTTCCTTCTGTTGTGCCAAAGCAATAGGCGTTCCTTTTGGAATATCATAATGAGTCGATTTCTGGCTCTCCTTTTCAGTCCTGGTAGACAAAACATTGGAAGGAACATCATAGTTGCTAGCTGGACGCTGCACAAACGTATCACAGATGGATGGTATGTCATAAAGAGGAAGCTCTGGGCAAGTTAATTTCCTATGTATAGGTGGAATATTATATGATTTTAGATTTACTGATTTCCCTTTATTATTTATTGGAGATAATTTTTGTGCATCAGAATCAAACCTGCTTGGTGGTATATCATAAAGTGCATGTTTCTGTGAGGAATGATTCTGAGAAGTTTGTATTAATTTTGCTTTGTCTGGTGCCACAGGTACATCATAGATCCATTCTGATTTCCAAAGATTTGGTAAAGTTTTGTAATGCTTTTCTGTAGAATTAGCAATGGGTTTAGTTGAGGATGTTGGGATGACGTACACCTGGAGAGGAGAACAAAGAATGATAGATTACTACTACTCCTTCATTTGTGTTCTCTTCTCTAATATTTATATTCATATATATATAGAACAAAAAAAGTTCACACAAATAATAAACCAACACATAAGAAGTGTAAAAATACCACAAGTAATCTACACTGGAGCAATTAGTAGTATTCTCCCTCTTTGCTCCTTGTGTAAAGGATCTGCCTATATCAACCTCCACTCAACAACTGAGAGCAACACTTTATGGGCTTGATGATGTGAACTCAGAGGGAACCTCTTGACCATCAAAATTTCTGTAACCTACCCCCTGTGATTCCACTTGAAGTATGGTCAGGATTTTAATCCCTTCGATATCCATCCTGTTTATTGAGAACTAATAGGCATTTCTTGCCATTCCTAGTCAACAGCTAAGGATAAAGAAGTGTCAACCAATATTGCTAAGCTATTGGCAAGTAAATGATTCCTCCTCTTGATCTCTCAGTTTTGCACCTAAACATATCCATCTTAAAAAGTAGTCATGGTGGATTGTTTCTACATAGTATGACACCATTACTCCATTGCATTCGGATTGCCCTATTCTGGCATGATGGCTTTTTGTTACTCCAGCATTACAGGATCAGATTGCTTGTTCAAGTATCCCCTTAGACAAGATCACAAACCTCAATGGAATTTAAGTTCTTCACTCTTGCAGGAAACAAACGTTCCTTGCTGAAGATTTGGTAGGGAGGAAAATTGTAGAATTTGTATACGATCAGTGCGGACTTTAGTTAATCAGATTTGCATCACTTCCTGGAAAAAAGAAGCCCGAGGTCCAGAGAAAGTCCATATGCTATAATGTGTTTGCTTGTCTTTAAGATGAGAGGAGACTTCAAGTTTTATTTTGAGAAAAACAGGTTTTTTTTGTCCTGTATGTTATTGGTGTTACACTTCATTTCTTCTCTGAAATAGTCATTGATTAATGGGCACTAGGAAGCATTTGGATTTCAGAGGCCTGATATAAATCCAAGCTTACACCCCAGCCTTTTGCAGTTCATATTTTAATTGCTTGCTCCTACTACAAATCCTGCTCACTCTGAATTTCAAGAGCTACACTTTGTATATAGATCTGAGTTCCCCATAGATGCCACAATCTGCCTCTTGAACAATTAACAGAGTTTCACATAACTCTATGATTCAGAACAACATATTTATTTAAGTATGCTCAAACTTACATCTTCCACTGCAGAGTCTTGCCATGAGCAAAATCTTGGCTTTTCAGGATTTGATGGGATATCATAAAGTTGCTGCACCTTTTCTGGGCACCATTCCATGAAAGGAACTGTTCTGGAGTCCTTTCTAGAAAATGGTGGAGTAGCAAGGCCCTAATGAAAGAGTTCAACATAAAAAAACCCGGTTACCACTAGCCATTCATTTATACTTTTCCTTCAGCTGATAAACAATTATACAGAGTTTTGTTGATTTGGCTCTCATTTGCATTCTTAGATGAACGCTGGGCCAAAGGAATGAGAGAATGGATATCTACAACACCTACAACAGTTTCCTCCAGCCTGACCTCTTCTTGATGGGTGAGTTTGCACATCTGTCAGATCCAACCAGAGTTTAAAGTGTTAACTGAGGAAAGATAATCTTTTCATCAGTATGTGGGACTTTTCCAAGCAACTTAAGTTGGAAAAGGATTTAGCAATCAAAGTATGAAGGTGAAGTTCACCAGGCAGTAACATACGGTAGGATAATTGGGGAGGTGAGAACTGAAGCAGGGGCCAACAATTGTGGCATTATTTTATTTCCATTTCACATAACTATATTGCTTTGGGTCACTATGGAAATGTCACTGAATACACTCAGAGTGGAAAGGCTGCAATAGAGGGTCTAACCAGAGGCTACTACCCTAGGTACCACTTAAGCCTGGAGCTGGCTTATTAGGGACTGCTAAGTTGAGGCTTAGAAGGTTAAAGGAAGATTTAATCTAGTGTTTGCTTAAAATTTGGAATCAGAAATAAACAACACTGTGAAATATTAGCCTGCAAGATTGGCAGGAGGTGAATAGACTCAATACTCTCTTTATACTGTACTTCACATTCCATAGTAGGTAGATGGTGGGTTTTGTTGTTTAGTGAACAACTCTGGAGTTGTGTAAAAAGCATCTTTGGAGACCATCTTTGTTCTAATATCAAGCAAAATTCAACTCGTAGGACAGTATATTTCAGCAAAATAACATGTTTAATTTTTAGGAGATTAAACGTTTGCCCATTCCTGACTTAAAGAATGTGCACTAAAGACTCTGAATTCAGATATGTATGTCCAGCTGTGAACTGGCACATTTCAAGTTCTTCAATGTTCACCCTTATGGAACTAAACATAAATGTACTAACATAGAAAAATATTCTGATAAATATTTTCTGATAAATAAATATTCTGATAAAAGCTAAATAGAGGTCTAAGCACATCTTAAGGAAAGAGCCCTGAGGCTTGCATGGCTCCTTAGTATATGACCATCTTCTCTAATTTTGTCCCTTCTAGATATATGAGCTCCATCTCCAGAATACAGGCTGGAGAAGGCTACATAAAATAAAAGAGGCTCTGTCACAATGCACTGAAAGGATATGGGCACCAGATGGCAGAGTATCTTAAAAACAAAACAAAATATGAACTTTGAAGATTTAGACCCAAACAGATTTTGCAAGCAAAGCACAGCTTTAAGAAGCTTGTCCAAAATTAGGGCAAATGTGACATGAATATGTTACAACACCACAGATGTCACAGGTATGAATCCATGATCAAAAGATGAAGAATGTTTGCAGGAATTGAGTATGGCCAGTCTAGAGAAAAGAAGCCTAGGGGGGAGATGATAGCAGTATTCCAGTATTTAAGAGGCTGCCACAAAGAAGAGGGGGTCAACTTATTTTCTAATGCATCAGAAGGTAAGACAAGAAACTGGATGGAAACTAATCAAGGAGAGAAGCAAGCTGGAATTAAGGAGAAACTTCCTAACAGTGAACCAGGAGAACAGCTTTGCCTTCAGAAGTTGTAAGTGCTTCATCACTGGAGGTTTTTAAGAAAAGACTGGACAGCCACCTATCTGAAACGATATAGGATTTCCTGCTTGAGCTATTCTGATTGATTGATTGATCAGGCTACTTCTCCAAAATATGTAACAGCTATTGGCGGAGAGGCAGGATTCTTCATTTTGTAAATTGCATAAAGGCAGCAGTTTGTTAAATCCTGTAGTGTCATTTCCTTGTACTTGCTATGGAACAGTGCTACATATGCTTACACAATTTAGAAAGGACATATATCAGTAGAAATAATGTTGAAGTAACCACCTAGAGACAATCCAGCAAACAATTGCCCAGTAAGGTTTGATTTCATGATTCTAATCTAAGAGTTCCAGCAATATTGAGCAAAAATAGTTCAGACTAAAGAGGTAAGCAAGGAACAGGCTCACACACCTTGGGGAATGGTGTAAGGCAGCCTTTTTGAGTGGCAGAGGTGGTGCTAGGGCCGAAGTGAAAGCCTGGGGCCTTCAGGCCCAGCCTTAGCAATGCTGCCATTGTGTGTATGAGAGGGGGGGGGGGAGCAGCAGAATCAAGTAAGGAATTTTCTGAATTTTTCATATGCTGAGTCCAAAAAAGATGGCCATCCAGATATAGAATAAATATAAATTGAAATCTACCCAATTTTTCAGATTTCCTCCATTTTCTTTTCTGATGTGACTTTAATACAACCTTGCCAATCAAGCAATGATGGCAACTATTTTCAACCATCAGCTTGCTATGTCCACCATGCTCACCTGAATCAGCAGGGATCCAGAATGCTGGGATGTTGGAATGTCATAGACATCATTTCTTTTTTCCGGGGCTGATGCCCAAGTAGCTCTCGGAAGAGTGAAGAGGTGCTTGGGAGAAGAAGGGGGAAATGATGAGATCAAAATGACACTGATATTACCTGTGAACATTTTATGAGCTGCTGTTCTTTCAAGTGATGCTTCATCAGTATTTGTTAACCATTTAATGAAAAGGTGCTTCTCCTACAGATAGTTATTAACCTTGAAAAGTATGTGTTGTTTGCTCATGAAACTGCTGTTTCTCCCCCCCCCAACTAACCTATTAATAGCTGGTGGATGAAACTAAGGACACACAAAAGAAGCGAAACATCCTTTGTGATTATTGAATAGTGTGTAAATTAGAGAATTCAATCTGTTGAAAAAGTACCAAGAATTTATGCTGCTTCATTTTGTCTAAGTACTTTGCTGATCAGTCAGGAAAACTGGATAAACCTGAGATTTTTTTTTTTTTTTACAATTAGGTTTGTTATTGATTGCTAAAGTTTGCTAGCTGTTTAGAATAAAAACATAAAATCAATTTAAACTTTAAATGTTAAAGTTCAAATGATCAACAATTAAAGTCTCTATAAAAAGATGTGTTAAGAGTATTTTAAAAGGATGACTGCTTGATAAATTTTATCTACTTTTAACCACAAATTGAGCCCAGAATTTCTGATCCTAAGTGGGACAGTTATTAAGTGACTTTTGCCCCATTTTACAACGGTTCTTGCCATTAAGCGAATCACTGCAGTTGTTAAGTTAGTAACATGGATGTTAAGTGAATGTGGCTTCCTTATTGACTTTGTTTATCAGAAGGTCACAAAACGGGATCACATGAACCCAGGGCGCTGCAACCATCATAAACACGAGTCATGAAAAAGACACAATTAGCAATTGAGTAAAAGTAAAGGTTTCCAACTCTAAGGTGTGCTGCTCATCTCTATTTCTTCTCCGAGGGAGCCAGCATTGTCCAAAGACATTTCCGTGGTCATATGGCCAGTGGGATTATATGCCGAGGCACATAGAACACTGTTACCTTCCCACCGAAGTGGTACCTATTTATCTATTTTCGTTTGCAAGCTTTCAAACTGCTAGATGGGCAGAAGCTGGGGCAAGTATCAGAGGTACCCGTTAAAAATGAATCTTTAGCCACTCTACCAACCTTTTTTTTAATTACAAAGAAGAGGAAAGGAAGGACAAATACAAATTTCTTGTTTTTAAGTATCCTCTTCCTTTTCCCCCATTCCAAACTAAAATTGAACGTGGGGAAATATTAAAGCAAAAATAAGAAAAGCCACAGGACCTGATGATATCCCAGTAGAAATTTTAAAATTGCTGGAAGACAGTGGGAAGAATTTTTTACTGCAGCTCTTCAATCAGATATATAAAACAGGAAAGATACCAAATGATTGGCTAAAATCAACCTTTGTGACAATCCCCCAAAAAATAAATGCAAAGAAGTGTACTGAATACAGAACAATAAGCTTAATGAGTCATGCCCTGAAAATATTCTTGAGAATAATTCACACAAGAATATACACAAAACTGAAGAGCGTCTAGGTAACACAATTTGGTTTCAGAAACAATCTTGGTATACAAGATGCACTATTCAGCATTCAAGTTCTTGTACAGCCTTGCAGAAATGTCAGTCACAGTGTTTACATGTGTTTCATTGATTTGAAAAAGCTTTTGATAAAATAAGACACAGCAAACTATTAGAAATCCTGAAACAAGGGGGCTAGATGACAAAGACATCCAAATCATAAAGAATCTGTATTGGCATCATATAGCAAATGTGAGACTAGGCCAAAAAATACTCAGCTGATGCAGAAATAAGAAGAGGGGTCAGACAGGGATGTATTCTGTCTCCACTGTTGTTCAATATCTACTCTGAGTCAATCTTCAATGAGGCACTGGAGAACATCGATGCTGGCATCAGAGTAAATGGTTTTGGATCAACAACTTAAGATATGCTGAAGATACAGTTCTGTTTGCCAGTAAGCATGAAGACCTTCAGCTCATCAACAGAGTCACAGAAATATCTGAAAAATACAGCTTGAAGCTTAACACCTCAAAAACCAAGATCATGGTTGTCAGTAAACAACATGTTAATTTACCACCAATAAATTCAGAAGGAGTACCACTAGAAAAAGTTGAAAGGATCACGCACTTCGGTTCTAATTTACATGAAAGCTGGGACATGACTACTGAAGTAAAGGCAAGGATAGAGAAAGCTCAAACAGCATTCTTCAAAATGAAAAATGTGTTCTGCAGTCACGACATAAGCCTAAGACTGAAAATCAGGCTTGTTAGATGCTATAATTTTTCTATCCTGCTCTATGGAGTAGAGAGTTGGTCTCTGACAGAAGGCCACCTGAAGAGACTAGAAGCATTTGAAATGTGGATTTACAGGCAGCTGTTATGTATAAGCTGGGTTGATAAGATCAGAAATGAGATGATAAGCCGCCTGGGAAAGCCAAGGGAAATCATCAAAACAATTAAAAAACAAAAATTAGAATATTTCGGACATGTGATGCAACACCCAGAAAAATACGGCATCCTCCATTTAATCCTCCAGGGAAAGATTGAAGGCAAACGAGGTCCAGGCAGAAGAAGAACATTGTGGCTTCAAAATCTAAGGGACTGGTTTGAACAAAACTCAGCAGCACTTTTTCGTGCAGCTGCTGATAAAAACAGGATCGCCAACATGATCGCCAATGGCACAAGAAGAAGAAGAAGTGGGGAAATATTGCAGATCTGAAATGTATCGTGGATAAGATAAGCTTGAGGATAACATCTTTTATTAATGTCTATATAATTCAGTAATGTAGGAAAACCATAATAATCAGCTAAAAAACCTATCACAATGAAGATGGGAGGGATAGTGATAAGAGAAAAATATCAAGAAAGTAAAAGTTGGAGTGTGTATCAATGATATAAAAGTTGCAACATCAAGGAAAGAACCTTTGTCTAGACTAGCCTATAATTTATTTTCATGAACAAACAGAGACTCAACCCAAGATCTCCTTGAACTTATTCTAGTATTCTAACTATTATACCATTTTGGTATTAAATATTAGGGACTCTTTAAAGCTAGATTTTGAATAATTCTCAGATACTCCAGCCTCTTAAAATTTTGATTGGGCTAAGAAATCTGATTTAAATACATGCAAAGATTACAATACACACCAGCACTTGTACTTCAGATATGAAGAAGATATCAAACATCAAACAAGGGACTAAAGAATAGATTAGATGTACATAAGTCAATTTTACAGGTATTTAGTAGTTCAATTATAAAGAAGTGAATGGTTTGGGGGTTTTTTTTGGGGGGAAGCACTGTGTTGTGAATTATTTGCTGCTTAGGAAATTTCAGAGAAGAAACACTAAGGATTGAGGGATATGCCAAATGTCATATTAGACTCTAAAAGAGATGGCTAGCAGTCTGACTGGTTGTCAGCAGCAGCTGATTCTACTACAGCTAACTCTGTGTGATTCCAGTCTATTGCTCTATTTCTATTCCTGCACTAGCTGGGCATTTCACCATATGTGTTCTTTAAGCCTAAGTGTTGTGGTGAAGAATTGCTTCAGGACATTTGTTCTCTGTGGAAACAGCTGCAGTCATAAGTCAGATGTAGCCGGAGAAAACTTTACGTTCACATTGTTAACATTTGAAAGCTTGGTGTTTTTCTTTATAACTTCTTTTAAAGAACTGGTAAAGCTAGTTATAATTACCATACTTTATCAATCTTATCAAGTGCTTAAGAACATGGACTTATCAGATCAACAGCAAAAATGCCACCTGGCCTGCTGTTCTACTTCCAATAATGATTCAAGTAAAGAATTATTAAAAGCCAAGATGATGACACTCAAGGGTGCCTGATGGTGAGATGGCGAGATTAAAATAAAATAAAATAATAAAAATAAAAATTGTTAGGGCAAATTCTTTTGCTCTTAATTGTGGCTTTCCTGGTGTTTTTAAGTAATCTTTCATTGCAATTCTCATATCATTATATTGCCCCAAACCAGCAAAAAGTATATGGCAGTGGTGGCAAACCTATGGCATACATGCCAGAGGTGGCACTCAGAGCCCTCTCTGTGGGCATGCGTGCTGTGCCCCGGAGATGGCGAGGGACTGGCCCCTGCTGCCCTGGCCCCGCCCACCCATTCTGCCATGACCACTGCAGCTATGCCCACCCGGCACTTGATGATAAATAAATGGGTTTTGGGTTGCAGTTTGGACACTGGGTGTCTAAAAGGTTCGCCATCACTGGTATATGGAGTTTATGGAAATTATATTCCAAAACATCTGGAAGAAATTAGGCTACATAATTCCTGTGCTTTTTTTTTCTCCCCAAGTATTCAGAGCAGAGGGTACTCCAATTTCTAAGTGTAGATATTAAATATTAGGCCCCCTTAAATTGATTTGAATTTCATAAAGTTACTATCTGATATGTGAAGTACTTCCTTTGTTATTGTAAATTATTGCAAGAATTATTATTGTAAACCTTCTCCCTCTAGTCTGAGCCTGCCCCAGTTGGGAGGAGGGCTCAAGCAGAGAATTAATCAGGACTCATTACGTAAACACAACAAGTCAACCCCCCCCCATTCCCCTCCCCCCCTGTATTTGAGATTTATCTAGTCTTTCCCGGGTGAAAGCTGCAGTCTGGGAAGATTCCTATATGATAGTGTGTCACCCTTACTGACTAGGAATTTGGGAAGATGTAATCCAAGCATCCAAATAAAATTTGAAGAATTCCGTGTCTTCAAGGGTGTCCCAAACTTGTTGACTATAATTTTTACTGAATGGCACACCAAATGTCACTGATGTAACACAGAAACAGATTGTATTCTATTTAACTAATTAATTTTTTATATTTCAATGTATATTAAATTTATATTAATAATTATGTGTATTATTATCCATTCTATCTAATTTTATTCACTCAACATTTTATTAACTTCTACAATTGATTCAATTATCACTAACTTTTGTAAAAAAACAAAAAAACAAACACCATTTCTGTGTAAAGTTGCTCAAAACTAAAAATCAATGATCCATTGGAAATTATGAAGTGATCTATCCAGTGGTGGGATTCAAATATGTGAACAACTGGTTCTCTGAGTGGATGCCGCTTCTGGAATTCCATTCTGGGCTTTGGGAACAGTTCTGCCGGTTCTGCCGAAGTGGTGCGAACTGGTTGAATCCCACCACTGGATCTATCAGTGAATTTCAGTGGATATACAATTTCTGTGTATAAGTAGATTGTTTATATATCTAACACAGCCTTCTTCAAATTGGTGTCCTCTGAATATGTGGGATCGTAACTACATGGGCAATGGGAGTTAAAATTCAATATTTTTTAATTCAAGCAGAGAGAAATAAATCTCTGTATCTTTGTACATGCCTACAAACAAAAAAGAAACAGCTGGGGATATGATGGAAAAGGAAGATTTAATCCATTTCTTCCTATCTTTATTACATTATCCATTTTCCATTTGACAAGCAGCATGCACCTTTACCTGATTTGATGAAGTCTCAGTCTTTTCACTGAGCAGCTTGGCAGCCAAAGCTGGTCCTTGGTACCCTTCTTGTGTTGGCAACAAGGAAGTAGAAGATGAAGATGAAGGTGGAGTAATCCAACCATCCATTTTTTCATAGACAGATAATGGTGCAGAAGTTCCATGTACTGAAGGAACCTGGTAGGTAGTCCAATGGTTGGTTGGCAGTCCTTGAAAATCTTGCTCAATGGAAGGAACCTCTGACAAAGTAAGAAGCTGGAGGCGATTGGCTGGTGCCAAGCCCTGCTTCCCATGAAGTGAACATTTCCACCAACCTTCACTCCCAACTATATTCTGTTCAAGAACAGTAAGGATGTCTCCTCTGCGAAAGGCCAGCTCTTCTGGACACTCAGCTTTGTTGTCATATAAAGCCTTGGCCAAGGTACTCTGAAGACAAACAAATTAAAAGTAAGGGAAGCTGTTGCTTCTCATAATTACTGAATTTATATTTAAGTTGCCATAAAGGTTTAAATGAGAGAGAGTTCAGTTCTATATTGTTCTGGGAGTCCTCTGTGTCCCATTTATTTAATCAACTAGCTTACATAAGTTACATAAATTCAAAGCTGCTAATTATCATTCTCACTCAATTGCAGATATAAGACTGATGGAGATGCTCTCACAAGTAAATGATCTTCTGTTACAAAAAACACCTGGGGCTTTCTGTTTCACATGTACAGTAATGTCAATATTGTAAAGTGTTTAAATAAATCTATAGCACACACTGGGCCTGCACAACATATGTGTTGTGTGTGATCTATTAGATTTGGCCTGATCCACAAAGGTTTTTCTTATCATCAATTGTGTTTTCTACTCCTATTTTTAAGAAGTAAGTTCAAAGTATATGAAGATGAGAATACAATCACACATAAAAATGAATAGGCAATATCTGCAGAAATCCTTAGTTTTACATTATCCCATAGATAAATGTTTAAATCTAACTTCGTAAGAGATGCTCTAAAACCACATGTTTTCAAAGCCTTTGGGATTTCCCAGATTTTGTTGCATCTACAATACTAGTTTGTAGAAGCAGTTCCTTTGCCTCAGCATTCTCTAGTTGCCTGCATAAATGAGGAAGTATTTCTTGGTTGGTTTCTACATTGCCTGTAAATGTCTTGTCTTTCTTTTATCCGGGACCTTTTGAGAAGACCACACCAATTCAAAATAAAAGTTACCATGACAATAGAAGAACCACAGGAAATTGAGATGTTACTATCTAACATATCTGAAACCAATGTGAGAACCCCCAAAATTGATATAGATCAGACTTCCATAAAGAAAAAAAAATCTTACGTTTTTAGAAATAGAATTCTGTTAGAGATAAAATTCATCAACTATATACAGAATGTGAGAAATGAGTAATGGGAAATTATTATCATGGAATGTGAACTTCAACACATAACCTTTATTAAGTACTAAATTTAGTATTAAAATATACCAATGTGTGAACAAGTCAGCCTTCATATCTTTTCCACAAGGCTATCAAGTCTTATCATTATGTAGGAATTTTTCATGTGTATGTGTGAAGACTTATTCTAAGAAATTAATCAGGTATGGAAGGTCACAGCTGCTTCAACAAGTTACACATTGCCCGTTTTTACTAGAAATGTATTTATTCCTTGATTTAGAGAAGAACCTGTATTTGTCACTAGTTTTCAGTGTAATGAAAGAAATTTTGCTTCTGAAATTCTGCTAAAGGAGAAGAGAATGTTGAAAAAATTCTTGGGATTGGTACAGTGTTGGTGGTACTTACTTAGTTATCCCAGTTACTCTTAGTTACCCCAGTTATCAAAGAGCCCTCGTTTTCACTGAAAAGTTCTCTCTTGGTTTTCACCGGCTTTTTCCACTTTCATTAAATTCTAACAGAAGAGATCAGGAGATTGTTCCTCCTATGCCATATGGGATTTTTTTTTTTCAAAAGAAAAGTGTGGACATCTACAAAGGCTTTAGAACAACAGAAAATATGGAACAGAAAAAAATGATATGCATAGCAGGTGCAAAGCACCCCACTTCTGAAGTTTGGTGTGTAACAATTGAGTTAGATGTAATATTTCCTTGGGTTCTTCATGGAAGAGACTTTATTCTTATATCTCGTATCTGGTTGTCATGGAGAAAATCTGTGTGGTCATTAGGAGTCAACAGTGACTTGATGGCACTTAGTCAATTTCATGTCTGGTTTTTGAAGGAATGCATATGCATATCCCTTCTTTGCTTTTCAGATAGGGAGGATAGCTCCAGGCTTCCTAACTGGGTGACTGAGAACTTCAGCAATGGAAGGATTACAGAGGACCAACCATCCAAATTCGTTTTCTACTGGAGATATCTTGCAATCTTGACAAGCTATTATAGAGCTAGAATTTTACCCTTAAGAAACAGTTGAAGAAATGTTCTTCCCCTGGAGAAATTCAAAAAAAACTTCCAACCAACTTTTTCTCCCCACAAATTTGGGGGAGAATTTCAGCTCTGCTACCTACAAATTCTCTTTACTCCATGCTGTCCAAATGACGAGGCTGCCAGAGACAGCAGGTGCTGATGAATGGGTCCCTTAAGCCAGCCAGCTGCTCTCAGGTTTTGCTAGGATTAAATAAGATTTAATTATCAGACCGACTGGCTTCCAACAACAATAAAGAGAGGAAGATGGCCATCTTGCTCTTGGCTTCAAGCTGCAAAATAATTTGGGCCAGCTTAATTTATGAGCTATTTTTATTTTCAACTGGCAATGAAATCTACAAAAACATAGTGGAAGATATTGATACAAGCAATAAAGTCAAGGCTTTTTAATTTGGGTTTTACTGTGGCAGATCACGGCTGAAGGAATTACTGTTGACCTCTCTGGGAGCCACATTTGGAATGGAAAGAGTGCATTCTGCAGTTCTACTCAATAACTACTCAATGATACCTTGAACCAATCTGATCAGCTCTGCATAACTTTAAACCTAGGACTGACTTCTCAACCTGAACTACTTATCTTATTGAGTTGCCATGAAGATTACCTTACTTCATTTCCTACTTTAGGCTTCAGATGTCTTTACTTAACAATATGAGTGCCTGCTCTTAAGTAAGATTTGAACATCTACTAACCAGAATCACTGGCTAATAAAATGTGCTCTTTGCCACAAGTACTGATTAAAAATGTGAAAGAAACTTCTAGGACTGTTCTAGTTTATTTCATTTCCTCATCAACTTTACTAAGTATTATTCCTTCCTATTCACAATATTGTCAGGAGCCATTACATCCATATCATCATGAACTTTGAAGATTGAGGAAGGAAATTCAAGATTGGGGAACTCAATCATTCACCCATCCTTCTAGTTTATGGAAAAAAAGAGTGGGTGGAAAGCAGAATTTATGAAAAGATTCTTGCACCACTATCAACTTTTTATAAAGCTTGGTAGTAGAAGGACTGGAAAGAAAATGTCCAGCACAAGCATCTTGATTTTGAGTAGTAGGGCTTCAAATTGAATGTCATGGGGGTTGGAGATGAAGATCCTAAAATGACAACTTTGAATCAAAATTTGATTGTTGTAGGACAGGGGTATCAAACTCACTGTGTCACGTGACGTGTCGCAATGTATCACGACATTTTTCCCCTTTCCGGAGCTGGTGCGGGCATGGCTTCCGCATGATCCATGTGGCCCGCGGGCTGGCAGTTTGACACCTTTCTTGTAGGAGGAAGAGAGTGTTCCTAAATGGGGGCCTAATAAGTTGCTTAATAAAAAATCAGGGAGCTAATTGACTCATAAAATTCATGGCCTTGCTGTCCATACACTAATGTACAGCCTAAGGAAATAAAAAAAGATGCACTTTAATTTTCAACAAAGAATGCAAATATGCCTTTATAGATATAAGAAAGACTTGATGGATATTGTAACTGAAAAATACAGTTTAATAAAAAGAACAGAAACAATAGGAGAGTAAGGGCATTATATATTAAAATATCTGCATCTAATGTGCTATTATTGTTAACAGAATCCATTAAATCAGCTCAAGATTTTTTGGGTTTTCAGTATTTGAAGAAAAGGATGAAGTTATTTTTTTTTCTTTTTAAGTAGATTATCAAGGCCAGATGTAAATTCATCCAACTAATCCTGACCTGAGGCTGCTGTGCCTTGTCATTGTGGTAACTTTTTCCAAGACATGCTGTTAGATTTGAAGAGAATGTTCACAAGAATCGCAGAAACATGCCTTAAGCCCTGAAAACTTCCTCTTATTATTATTCCCCTTCCTATACCATTTCAAACAAATGGTTGTCCAATCTCTTCTTAAAAACTTCCAGTATTGGAGCATTCACAACTTCTGGAGACAAGTTGTTCCACTGATTAATTGTTCTAACTGTCAGGAAATTTCTCTTTAATTCTAGGTTGCTTCTCTCTTTGATTAGTTTCTATCCATTGCTTCTTTTCATGCCTTCAGGTTCTTTGGAGTATAGCTTGACTCTCTCTTCTTTGTGGCAGCCCCTGAGATATTGGAACACTGCTATCATGTCCTTCTCTTCATTAAACTAGACATACCCAATTCCAGAAACCGTTCTTTATAAGTTTTAGCTTCCAGTCCTCTAATCATCTTTGTTGCTCTTCTCTGTAGTCTTTCTAGAGTCTCAACATCTTTTTTACATCATGGTGACCAAAATTGGATGCAGTATCCCAAGTGTGGCCTTACTAAGGCATTATAAAGTGGTATTAATACTTCACGTGATCTTGATTCTATCCCTCTGTTAATGCAGCCTAGCACTGTGTTGGCTTTTTTGGCAGCTGCAGCACACTGCTGGCTCATATTTAAGTGATTGTCCACTGGGGACTCCAAGATCCCTCTCACAGTTACTATTATTGAGCATGGTGCCACCTATGCTATACTTGTGCATTTGGTTTTTCTTGCCTAAATGTAGAACCTTGCTTTTTTCACCATTGAATTTCATTTTGGGTGAGGACTGGTTATAACTTCGAACATTAACTAAATGAGTGGTTGTATAAAACTAGACATATCACTGGAAGCTAAGATCCAATTTACTTTGACCAAATACGTCTGATTTCCTTTGGCCATGTTATGCATGCAATTAATTGGAGAAGGCCATGATGCTAGGAATGGACAAAGAAGAAGATGCAAACAAAAGAACACACTGGCTTGATAACGTCAAGTCTGATGCAAAATTGAACATAAAACGATTGAAAGGAGCTGTGTGTTTGACAGACTAGCATGGAGAGCACCTGCCTATAAAGTCACCAAGAGTCAGACACGACTAAATGGTTAAAAACAACAAATAACAACAAATCAAGGACTACCTTACTGTTATACAGTATGCATAAAAGAGTTCAAGCTGTAGTAACCAAAGGCCATTCCATCTGGGACAGTCCATGCTAAGAATCCACAATATGGTTTCCATGGCTGTGGA